CATCGGCGTGTTTTGATATAAAGTCACAGATTTTCCAGCATATATCTTTATTGTCCTTTGTTTCACAAAACTAACTAAATTTTGCTCCAACGAGAAATTTGGGAGTCCGTATGAGGTTGTACTCGCGCATTTTGTCAAAAAGTATATGTCAAAATATTAGTTTTACATGAGCTGAGTAATTCGAATAAACATGCTCTGATATTTTGATCATCTGCTGCTTCATCAATATATTTCTTATTTCCATTGGCGCAACTGGCATCTTTTCCATTCTTCTTTGTTTTGCGCTTCTCTGATCCACGTAATTCGTGCAACCATTCAAGCGGATCCTTCCATCGCATCATCATTCACTGCATTATTTTAACACTATGCGGACACCATTTAAAAATACCTTCAAACATTGCTTTTTCCTCGCAGTAATGCATTTTTATGCGTTTTTGTATTATCCCAATGCAAAAACGCATATTGGCAAAAGGCTGTGTGTTTGTTTGTTCGTATTTTTTGTCGCCTGTTTTTAACTCGAGAATTAGGGAAGCTAGAACTTCGCGAATATGTGCCTACCTCTGTGTAACTTTTCAGTTTTAATATTGTCACTCACGTACGTCTGCATCTCATGTACGGACGCCTCAAAAAACATGCAATTTTTTTGGTATTAAAGCGATCTCGGGAACCAGAAAAATAGGAGGCAAAAGTTTTATAGAGATATTCTGTGTTTCGTGCAATCATTCAAACGGATCCTTCCATCGCATCATCAGGGGCTAAAGATTTCAAGTTCAGCTTTAATGCTTGCATACATCTCGAGCGCGAATACTTCAAATTTTTGAATATGTTTGCTGTTCATATGCGGGTCACAAAGAGTAGGAGGAACTTCTGCCTAGGCTCGGACTTTGCAGGTGCTTAAAATAATTAAATTACAACACCGCAGTTACAAGCGATCTGTCTGCAGAACGAAATCATGCAAAAACGCATGATCGCACTAGCAAGCCTGGTGCGTCACAGTCTGGATTGACAGAAAAGCACTAATGGCCACGATTCGCAACATTTTAGATCATCACTTTTACGTAAGTTTTGTGTTCCTTTTTTGCATATATATGCAGTACGAAGATGTATACTGTGAATACTCATGATGTGGATGTAATCGTCTACCCGCGTATTTCAACTCTACAACCAGGCTGACATCGAAATTTTGTGTCCCAGAGATGTGGTACCAACCTTCAAGTATGTTTGAACACCAGCTACGGATATCTAAAAATTTTGGGAAAATTTAGGAACCAAAAATTTTGAAGGGATGTCTCCTGTCGACGTGCAATTTAAATTTTCAGATTTGGTTCCTAAATGCGTGCTGTTCTAACGTACGCACAAGTGAAATTTTTGGCAGGATAATTGCTAACTCGGGGACCAAAATAGCAAGGTCATTCTCATCGAGGTCAAAAGGAATTATTCATCCCCCTTTATGCAAAATTCACGGTGTTTTATGGCGATTGAATAAGTTGAATGTAAAAGGCAAACCGTTCACACTGTTAGCGGCCTGAATGTTTAACGCAAAAACGCATGGTGCTTCGCAGCCTAAGTTTTTTTAGCCACCATCATTACCAGCATTGGCACCATTTCTAATTAATCATTCTTTATTAATCAGTTAGTTGTTTTCAGCGATAGTGTGTAAATTGGTATCTATCCTGGGGACCATTCTTGGCTATATGAC